ATATAGGGTTAAGGAAAAGTAAACTCCATCTTTCACTCAGATCATATAAATGAAATAACTTTTTTTTATCACTCACTGATGTTCGAGCTTCGGTCCATTCTGCTCAGAGTTCATCAGAACATCAGAACATAAGAACATCAGAACATAAGAACATCAGAACATCAGAACATCAGAACATGAGAACATAAGAACATCAGAACCTCAGAACATAAGAACACCAGAACCTCAGAACATAAGAACATCAGAACACAAGAACATCAGAACATGAGAACATCAGAACATAAGAACATCAGAACATGAGAACATCAGAACATCAGAACATAAGAACATCAGAACATCAGAACATGAGAACATCAGAACATCAGAACATAAGAACATCAGAACATCAGAACCTCAGAACCTCAGAACATAAGAACATAAGAATATCAGAACATAAGAACATCAGAACATGAGAACATCAGAACCTCAGAACATCAGAACCTCAGAACATAAGAACATCAGAACCTCAGAACATCAGAACATAAGAACATGAGAACATCAGAACCTCAGAACCTCAGAACCTCAGAACATAAGAACATCAGAACATCAGAACATCAGAACCTCAGAACATCAGAACATCAGAACATAAGAACATCAGAACATCAGAACATGAGAACATCAGAACCTCAGAACATAAGAACCTCAGAACATCAGAACATCAGAACATCAGAACATGAGAACATCAGAACATCAGAACATCAGAACCTCAGAACATCAGAACATCAGAACATAAGAACATCAGAACATCAGAACATAAGAACATCAGAACATCAGAACATAAGAACCTCAGAACATCAGAACCTCAGAACATCAGAACATGAGAACATAAGAACATCAGAACCTCAGAACATCAGAACCTCAGAACATCAGAACCTCAGAACCTCAGAACATCAGAACATCAGAACCTCAGAACATCAGAACATCAGAACATGAGAACATGAGAACATCAGAACCTCAGAACACCAGAACACCAGAACATCAGAACATGAGAACATAAGAACATCAGAACCTCAGAACATCAGAACCTCAGAACATCAGAACATCAGAACCTCAGAACATCAGAACATCAGAACATGAGAACATGAGAACATGAGAACATCAGAACCTCAGAACACCAGAACACCAGAACATCAGAACATGAGAACATAAGAACATCAGAAC